TCTTGAAAAAGTGGGGCCTTCTGCCATTTTTATATAATATAATTACGCAGAAGGCTCCACTTTTAGTTGTATATTTAGATGCTTTTCTTTTGCGATTTGCCACCTAAGTTTGCTATTGCTTCTTTTTTGCATCTATCATATTTTCTCATTTTATACATGTCTATATGCATTGTGGTGAGTAAATATATTATTAATTAATGTTAGAAAAAAATAGTTATTATATCACTTCGATCATATTTTAAAAAATAAATTATATTATTCAGTCGAAAGTAATAATCTATAATTAAACTATTTCTCAGAATCAGTCAGTTAAACAATTGTAATTTCTGTCTCATCTCTTAATATCAATATGGTATCTTTTGGTAGATTAAAATGAGATGGTACTAAATTAATTTGTTTTGCAAACAGAGATGAGATAAATAATTTGTTTGTATTTCTCTTCCCGGGTCTATTAGTATTAATTAAGCTGGACACACTTACACTATATTGCATAGAAGAAGTTGTTTCCTTGAGACTAGTTAACAAATGTGATTTATCTGGTCCAAAAGAGATCTTTTTAGTCTTAGCTTTGGAACATTCATTATCCCAATGATATTTCATCAAGTCTTCAGGTTTGACTTCATAGCCATATCTGTGCTATTCACTAAAATATGTTTTTTTTTGGTTTTACATCTGTAATCTCTATCAATTTCTAGCAATCAAAGCAAATAGCTATTTGACTTTTATGAATTCTAGGTCTGTAGTATCCATCATTTGTCTCAATACATTCGTCAAATTCTGCATAAAGACAGTGCACATGATAAATACTCTAATATTTCTCGACTAATAGCGTTTGTACAGTGCCTCTTACTCAAACAGCCCATTGCTGTGGAGTTTTATGCGATCTAATAATAGAGAAATAATCATATATTTTTTCTATTTTGATTATTTTTTCAAGATCAGTATCACTTCTATGATTTCTCATATATGTGCTAACATATTTTATATCATATCCAGGACAATTATTAACAGGTTTAGGTACAACCTTATTATATCTTTCATCTAGAATAATATTAATACCAAACATATTTGATGATTATATATAATAATACACAATAAATAAGACCTACACTTATAGCAATTTTAACGGTTTATAGCAGATTTAAGCAAGACTATATGCTCTACTAAATTCAAATTCATTTCTATTCGATTACGAACATACTGGGATTTATACATAGATTTGCAGATTTCTTGTGATTGGGGTAGTATTTTTGCAATTTAAATAGAGAAAATCTCATAAAAATATAAAAAAATATAATTAAAATTATATTTTATGCGATTCAATCGAATCACCTAATTGATTATTTTTGCGGACTGACAAACCACCCAAGTCAAAGTGCTGGGCCACCAGCAATGATGATTATGCTCTTTCGAATATACAACACACATAGTTAGAGGCCCTATCGTCAAGAAGTGAAGACTCAAGTAAAATTTTTTGCGAACTATATATACCCGTAACAAGTAACCTGGGTAGTCAATCTATCAACACAATATAATCTCGTGCAAGAAAATAAAAATGTATTACTTACCCAATTCATTCTGCGCATCATAAATTTTCAGATTAGATTATAAATGATAATATAGCAATAGGTTATGTATTTATGTAAATTTTGAGGTGAATACATTCAAACTATTTCTCATCTCGTAGTTCAGTGTACGAAACCACGGGAAGCTCATCGGGTCTTTCTCTCCTCACTACGTAGATAATAATAGTCCGACAATCACGTCCTCTGTGATAGTATTTTTATAAATATAAAAAACAAAATCAGAGGCACTATTACCTAAAGTTATAGACGAAATTTTTTGCATGACTATCAGAGAAAAACTATAGTGAGGTGGATACATTCAAACTATTTTTTATCTTGTAGTTCGGTGGACTAAACTACAGGAAGCTCGTTCGGTCTTCTTTTCCTTACTACGTAAACAATGATAGTTGATGATCACACCCTCAAAGGAGTGTTGTTATAATAAAAAAAAAATTGCAGAGAAGTAATAGTTAGATCTTAGGCCCGCCTCGAAAGACTATAACTTCACCTGAGAAGACTATATTATTAAGGCAACTAGATTGTGCATTTTGTAGAACAAACAACTACCTTCACCAAAGTACTGAGCTACCAAACATTAATTATGAGTATGTTAAACCTCACAACACATATAGTCAGAGGCCCTATCACCCTGCCTTCTCACAATGTTTCCTTAAAGGAAACTATAGTTAGTTAACAGATTTTTAGTTTCTAAAACAGTTAACTATATATCTTTTTTCGAGCTTGCCAGAAAAAAGGAGAATCGCATTAGGAAAACAGTAGACAACTAATTATTTTCATTGTTTTTTTACCAACTAACTCAACACTTTATTGATATAAAAAATATAAAAATACATTACATTTCTATAAATCTAGAAACAGATCTTCTGCCCTCAACCCATGTCTAGCGTATACCAAAGAAATATGACCCCTTCTACAATCCGTCGATGAGGGAGGAATTGTTATTTGTCTTTTTTTCGGTTTAAAAAACATAGTTTGGGAATTCAAACCTTGAGCATTATTGAGATTTTGATATTTAATAAAAAGAACATCATGCCCATCAGCATTTTTCTCAATCCCATCCTTCAAATCATCATATATATCATCGAATTTTCATAGATTATGAAAAAAGGTATCATGTACAAAGTATATGATACTATAGCGAATACCTTTTGTAAGTGGGAAGTTGTCGTAGAGTAGAAGACGTGAGGAAAATGCCACAACTTGTCCAGGCTGAAGCGGTACGACGATCTGGAGTTGAGGGAAACATAATTCTCCTCCCTCAAATTCTCTAAGGGTGACCAAATAGCATAAACTATTTGGTTCGTCATGTTCATCCCAATGGTAATCGCTAGTTGTATTGTAATTAATAGCGATCATCAGGAAGATTCTAAAAGATCGAGGTGCAAAGGGACCCCACACCAACTTCTCTAGTTTTTCATTTAAATTTCTATAGAATTTTCGTACAAATTCATTGACAGAGGTTGATAATGGGCCAAGATTGCGAAGTAAAGTGTTAACGCATTCTTGATGTGTGGTATTATGAGAGCTTGCAGTATTTGAACTAGTAAATGGGTGGAGGTTATTTTGTGTGTATGCACCAAAATGTTCTATGATATTTTTTCAGAATTCATCACTACGATGGGAAGGGTTATTTAGGGTGTGAAAATAATAATGGTTTACGGCATCTGTTGCTTGTATAACCACTCTTAGATTATTTAGTAATGCCAAGTGTACTAAGGTTCTACCTTCTACATCTGTAACACACTTCGAAATGGTTAAATGGCGAAGTTTTACTAATTTTTTAAACGAACAGAGATTACCTGGGCAGATATTATTAAATGGGCTTTCTCTTTTCGAGAAATATATGAGATAGTTCTTAAAATGTCCTGTGATTCATTGTTTTGAAAATCAATAGCATATTTAAGATCTATCCATTTAGACTGAAGGTGATGACGCATATCTCTTCTTATAACCGGTTCTTCCATCCCCAACCAACGACCAAGAGCGACCCATAAACATTTATTTTTTGCATTATCAGGATAAGAATTGGCATCATCATGTCCCCATTTTAATTATTTCTTTATCTACTAACAGAAGGAAATTAGGCAGGACATCAAACAACTCAATATTATTAGCCGACCTTGCCTCTTGAATTAGCATATCAACTAAAAGATCTTTGGATGAAATTTCTTCGCAAACTTTGACACCCCCCAATAATATACAATCTGACGGACAAAGGAAGATACTCTTCTATTCATTTTCAATATAATAAATTTTATTACACATACACAATCTCTGAGTCGCATATTGGGTCTGGTGCTAACATAATGGAAAATAAAATTAGATATCTGATGCAATTATCAATATGAATGATTATATAAATCTGCACTAGGTTGTATATTTTTTGCGGACTGAACAAACCACCCAAGCCAAAGTACTGAGCCATCAAAATGATGATTATGCCCTTTCGAACACATAACATACAGAAGCCAGAGGCCCTAGTTGCAGAGCAACAATTTTTTGCATAGCTTAAGTATACTCGTAGCAAGTAACTTGGACGATTGATCGATCAACACAAAAATAACCCAGGCATGAGAGAGTAAAACCAGATTCTAAGGCAAAAATGATATATACCCGATTTGGATCAAAAATAATATCGCTAGTTATCAATGGTAAAATCATTATAATCCGTCAACAAGGCCAAATTTTGTTCTTTCTCAAGCTTTTGTTTTTTATTATAGCAAGCATAACATGCCAACTTTTTGACTAGTTTCTCTTGGAACATGTTAATAAGGTTAGGAATTTCATTTTTATGCTTCTTGATAGATGCTTGCATTGTTTTTGAATTTTAAGTTATTAACAGGTAAAAATTTATAGCGAATAAAACGACGTATAATGAAGTATAAAAAAAATGTCAAATAAATTATAAGTGTCTATGTTGGGAGGCACCCCTTTTATTAGAAAATACAATTATAACTAAAGGTATAGTTATGAATTAGCCAGGGCGGCCCCCCCAAAGTACTGTCACATGATCAATCTTCGCCAATCAGGAAATAATAATATACGATTGTTGAAATATATAAGCAATTTACGATTGTTGGAGTTTAGAAACATATAGCTACAGCTGCGGTGTTCATCATGTGACCAGTACTTTGGGGGGGCCACCCTGGCTAATTCTATAGTTACTCCAACGCGTGTTAATTTATCAATTTGCCAAATATTTTTTTATCACGGTATTGTATGTTGCAAAACATAACTTGATGATTTAACATTTTGCAATTACAGAGTGCACTTTCTAAAAAATAGTAATTCGTCAAAACAATGGTTAGCACGTTGCTTTATTTGATATTATATAATAGACATGGTAATTTTCTAACAAACAATTGCGTGTTTACCAAATTCGGCACCACAATTATTAGACACAGCAATTCAATGAATTAGCCAGGGTGGCCCCCCCCAAAGTACTGTCACATGATCAATTTTCGCCAATCAGGAAATGATAATATACGATTGTTGGAATATATAAACAATTTATGATTGTTGAAGTTTAGAAACATATAGCTGCAGCTGCGGTGTTCATCATGTGACCAGTACTTTGGGTGGCCGCCCTGGCTAATTCGGATTAGATAGTTAGCAGATATTTGGTTATACGGGGTACAGTAATAATTTTACACGCTATATATCCCAAGCCTGATTTACAAATTTAGAATAACCGAATAATGATAGCAAAGCATGTTGATCAAACATCTAGCATTGCATTTTTTTATTGTAAATACAGATGCAAGTAAATATTGATTTGACGGTCCCACAGGTCCACACAAATTCTTATCGCATAAATTTTGTGCTTCTGATGGCCTCCAGAGGCTGTCGGAGTATAGTTAGTTAAGTGTACATTATTGGACAGATGACAAAAAATAACAGTCAATTGTTTTTTTTGTCAGAATTAATGTCACTCCATGTGCTGCGCAGCAGCACATGAGTGAAATTAACTCCGAT